TGTGCTGTTTGCTGGAATGTAGGGGAGGTGCATCTGCGTCCTGAGGCAGAGCTGGCATTTGGGAATGCAAGAGAAATTCCACTTTGCTATCCAGTCAGGGAGGAGGGAAGGCAGAGTTTTTTTGTCTCTTCATTGACCTAGGGGAGATTATTTCTTCGCAGAGAGCTGTGGTGGTTACCGTGTCACTTGGTTGTGACAGTCATCCTCTCCTGTATGCTTCTGCCAAATGGGAATAAAAAATATAAGAGCTGTAGAAACAGCACAGAACCTCTTAAGTTTGCAAAAGCTGTTCCTCCCCTTCCAGCACCTTAATTATAATTTTCAGAAATTGAACTCTTTCTGAAAATTTATTATTATGTAATATTTTTGCTTTAAAAGAAAATTTGTTTGTTGGACAAAGGGGCTTTCTCTGTTCCTATATGATAGGGCAATTAGACTTCCCCACAAACTTCTTTAATAATTATACAGAATGAAAGGACAACCTTAATTAAATTTTAACAATGAGTGTAATTGTTCTGATTAGCATAATAGCAGTCATTATATACTATTGCAAGGTTTCTTGTTTATGTTGTAGCTCAGGAGCTGTTCTCTCTATGTATGTTGCTACCATCATGATGCTTATCTCGAAGGTTGTATTTATCTTAAATCGGTCATCTCTGCTATTACTAATTATAAAATCTGTTTACACTGTCTGCATCTCATCACTACTATAGTATTGTTAGGCATTTCTCAGATAGGGACATTTGATGAAAGGCAGCAACCTTTTTGTAAAAAAAAAAAAAAACCTAATTTTTTTCCTAAAGCTTCTAGGAACTGGATAAACTAAAGTAGATCGGACTTCAAGTTAGAGCACCAAAATGTTGACATAGACTTTGAGAGCTTTCAGTTTGCCCTCTTCTGGAAAACTTACTGGATATCCCATAAGGCAGGCTGTAGGACTTTTACTGATCTTTTTTTCTGTGCTCATCATTGTAATAGACTAGTAGAAGGCTGGTGGAACAGGCTTCGGGGCTGGTAGAAAAACTTGAAGGATAGGAAGCAACACACATTGCTTATTATAGCATCCTAGCAGAAAAGGGAAGTCCGGGAGGCCACCATGACTTACCCATGGCTGTGGGAAAAAGAAGGATGGTGCACCAAAGAGCTCTGGATGATAATCAGGGGGCAGCAAATCTTCTCTTACTTCTTCCATCAGTATTGAGGTAGAAAACCACCTCCTCCGTCTTCCCTTTTCCTCGTGGACCTCCTGTCTGCCCTTACAGGCAGCCTCAGCAATAACTCTTAAAGCTGCATTAATCCTATTAGCTGTGCATCCCGAAACAAATGATCACTAGCAACCTTATTGTTGTTTTGTCTTACTTCATAAGGTGAGCAATGCGGCAAGTTATGGAGTCAGTAACACCTCAAAAGAAGTGTTCGATTCTTTGTCCTGCCAGGTCATTATAATATCAATCAGCCTCAATTACCTCCATCTCCACTGTGACTGCCTTTGTTAGGGACAGCCTGCAGGCTGTTGGTTGCTGGCTCACACAACAGTTGTGCCCCTCTTGGGGATGCGGATATATAATTTTATATTGATGCAAGTGTAAATTTCATAATCAGTTTGAGATTTAATTGACTGATGAACGTGTTCACGCTGAAGGCAAATAGCTTTGCAATAGCTTTACGGCTTTCACAAGCTGCAGCTCTCAGTCCCACGCATAGGATGCGGTCGTCTGAATGAAGGAAGTGTGAGTTAGCAGGGACAGAAACACACGGTTTGGGATAAGCAAAGGGCTTGGCTTTTGTAACATAGTCTTTCAGATTCCAATACCAAAAGTGTGGAGGACCGCTTGGGGTCTTTCTTAGAGGACATCTAAAGAAGTGATAAACAGTGAAGAAATGACACGATCAATAGATTATCTCCGGTTTACATTTGTTATAATTCTTGCCTAATTGCTTGCTGGGGTCTGACCATGGCCTTAATTGCATGCTGGTATGTCACCTTTGAACTCCGCTCTGTTGTTTTTAATTGTAAATAATGAACTGTCTTTGAAATATTTATTCCGATTTTCTTTCTGCTCTGTCATGACTGAACCTGTGCCTCCCTGCTGTGCTACTAAAAGTATCCCCCCCAACCCCGTGCCTAAAGAGTGACCCTCAGGCAAAATCCGGAGGTTTCTAATGGCCTAGATCTAAGACTGGCCCAAGAAGAACCAGCACTATTTACAATAAACAGGCGAGGTCATTCCTCTAGTACAGAACTTGTTCAATATGCCTGTACGTGTGTGTGCACACACACACTCCTATGTTCAAACTAATTCAAAATGCCGTGTGAGGTAGGAGTTCTCTTCGCTGAATAGCAAATTTTACAGAATTTGTAGATTTGTTTTTTCTTAACATTGCCTGCAGGCCTGAAAGAATAATGTCGCACCACTAAGGTCCTTCAACCTGTTCTAATATGAATCAGGAACAGATCTTTCTATCCACTGGGTAACATTTACATTTATTCCTTTGTATGTCATACAGGGCCATTAATCATTCTAGCAGCCTCCCCACCTCATAGGAGATGTGGGGAAATGATAATGTTTTATGTGTGTAATTAATCCTGTGGCAGATGTGGAGTTTCCAAGACTACTGCCATTAGAGTATTGACAGGATTCAGAACAAATATTCAGTCACTAGGTTAGTAATGATTTTAATACGATAATATCCAGTCCCTCATAAACACAGAGCATTTCAGCCCTTAAGTTTTACATAAGTGTTATTATTGGTAAAGGCTTTCGGAGAACTGGTAAGGAGGGTTTTATATTCCTAATGTTGCTGTTGAATAAACAGCACACAATTAACATACCAGCTGGCTGTGCATAATTCCTGAATTCCCCTCCACTCTGTGATAGTCACAATTTGTAAAGTGAGAGATGTAGTTTATAGTGAAATGAAAGGTCATCCAAGGAAAACAAGTGATGATGTACCTTTGGAGGTTTACTTTTAAAATTAGGCTTGCTTTCATCCTTGCTAAAATGACCTGCTCAGTTGGATTCTTGGTGAAGGGACAAATTCAATTTCATATCTTGATAAGACCAAAGAAGAAGTAAAGAGTCCCCTACTTTTCTTTCTCAATGCGTACAGCCCTTTGCAATGCGTACAGGCTCTTAAGCTAAGGATGTGCAGGGCTGCCACTTTCCCATATTCTGATTTTTTTTCCTCTATTGGCTTTTCATTATCTTTTACTATGTTATTCCTTATTCTGCTAGGAGGTGGGTATGCTGGATACCCCCAGAGGTTTGAAGGCTACAATTTACAGAGATGTGGTTCTTCTCACTATTTTAAAATAATATACTCCTTTTAAAATACGTAAAATTGTTGACTGATGGCAGTGCCTCCTAATTTCAAATCATACAGCCATTTACAGCTGTTACGTCTCCTTATGGACTGGAAGAATATATTTTGTTTCAACTCTCCAATTCTGTGGGAATAATGGATGTGTTAACCCATTAGTCCTTTGTCCGATGGCCCTCTGTCAGAACACCTCATCATAAAGAAGGGTGGACCAATATAGGAAAGCCAGAATTTATCTGCAATGACTCCACAGCACGGGTACTGAAACTGATAAACAGCTATAAATCCGTTGCTGTCTACATCTGACGGAGCCTTTGTGAAAAGTATTGCAGAGCGGGGGAGAAACAGGTCTGCAGTGCTTGCTTCCCCATCCTCTAAGCCAGATGAACAAAGCAAAGATGGGGGGAGTCAGCAGGTTCCCCTGTTCAGAAGAGGATTTGGGGAAGCGGACTATTCACAGGAGAAAGCTTTGTGAAGCACTTGTGGGTCATGAACACCCGTTTGTGCTCCATTATGCAGCCTTATCAAACTTGAAGCTGAAAACAGTCGGAAGTGGATGAGGTTCGGCACAGCAGCTGGAGATCATTTTCGATAGTTTCATACACCATGTGTGGCAAAGATGAACAGAAAGGAATTTCAGGCACACTGTGTGCTGCCTCCACATCTGGTTTCTGTAGCAGAGCCATGATTCGCTTCAAACTTTCAGTTCCTTCATTGCCTTGAACACCACTGGCCATAGCATTGCCCTTGGGACATTTTCATCTCCAGCTCTGCCTCTCTGCCTTTAATTAACACGTAGAGATAGGGAAAATGTGCATGCCTCCATGGACAGGGGTTAGCCTCAACTGCACGTATATCGACCTTGCTCAAAAAAATCCGTCTGACTTTCATAACTGAATGCTTTGGGTCTGCTGAAGAAGTGTAGATTAGGTGGAGTTTCTATTCATTTGAGTTGTCCTCTGTCACAGTTCTATATGAGGACATTTTTGAGTTATCCGTTTATAGTATTCTCTATGCTATTTTCGGGATAGGGAACTAGTCTATCAACATTAGACACAGACTTAATTCAGGATGAAGGTAGTAGTCTCAGCAGTCCCTCCAGAGGTAGGGTATTTATCTTGGAGACACTGGGAATGCACAGCCAGTTTGGCCACCCATGTTAAATGTGGTTACCTGCACGTCAATATTTGCCTCATATGATCAATTTATTGAAGGGAGGATTTTTCTCTTTTGCATTTCCTTCTGCAGGAGCAGTAGCTACAATTACTGTGTGATTTTGCATTTACTGAAATTACAGAATTTTGCATCACTTAATGTTTTATGAGCTAAAGATGTTGGTATATATGTGCATTTTATTATTGTTCGATTACCTTTCATTTATACAAAATATGTTTGGCTCCATACTTGCATTTTTTTTCAACTAGTCTATAACAGTATACGAGTTCTGTATGTGCTCTTGAGTTGCTGTTAACAGCATAATTAACTTCAGGGATTTTTTTAATATTAAAATGGTGAAAGAAAAGATAATAAACATGTTGTCAGAAGTGTTTGGAAAGCCTGGATTCTGTGATTAATATCTGTGAATCTGTGAGCAGCTGCTTGCCAATTTGTTCCAATTAAAATGTGAAAAAGAAGGTTATTCCTTATAAACAGTACAATGATTATATACACTGCTCCTTTGCTTTTATTAGGTTTTATTAGGTTGGCTTCTTCATTAGAGAAACAGTATGTAACAAGGTTGAAGTTGTTACCACATTTTATCTTAAGCAACGTCATTCTGTGTTTTAGAAAAGAAAATTAGGATCATGTTTTGTCTGGAGGCACATAAAGAAATAAAAAGGACTGTACCAGGTCAAATGTAGGGTCTGTCCAGCCCAGTAGTCAGCGGCAGTCAGTAGGCGGTGCTTGGGACTGGGATACTGTAGCATCCCTACTACATGTAGGTCCTAGCTTCTGACAGTCCAGGCGTTAGAGATTCCCTGAGTTGGAAGTTGCATCAAGGCCCTCATTTTTTACAGCCCCTGAGTAACCTAGCTCTGTGAATTTGTCAAATCCCTCTTTGCATCCATTTGCACTTGAGGCCTTCACAGTCTCCTGTTCCAATTAGCGTTATAATTTTAATTATGTGTTGTATGGAGAAAGGAAGTTTTTCTTTTTGTTTGTTTTAAAAGATTGCCTGCTAGTTCTACGGAATGAACCCTATTCCTGGTATTATGAGAGCGGGGAATTATTGCATTTTCACCTTTGGTAATACCGATGGTTTCACAGATATCTGTCCATCACCTTTCTCCTGAATTGTTTCTTTTCCAGCTGAAGCGTCTGAGCCAATTTAGTTTCTTTGTGTGAAAATTGTTCTGTGTTTCTGAGCGTCCCTGTTGTCCTTCTCTGTGTTTTCCTGCACAGTCTCTTGAGATGAGGTGACCATAGCCGTATTTGGGAATCAAGACTTGTGTTAGTAGTTGTAGCCAAAGCTTTATGCAGTGGCATAATGATGTTCTGCGTTTTGCTCGCAGTTCTTTATGAACGGTTCTTCACATGCTTTTGTCCTATGTGCCACAGCTGATGGTTTATCACCTTCATGTCTGATTTCTTTTGCAGGTCTTGAGTTAATTCTGCCTAGTGCTAGCAAGCAGGCCACAGCAAGAGGAGACTGTGTGAGCAGAGTGCCACCTTCCCCTCCCTTCAGAGAGATGCCTATGGAAGCCAATTTAGCTGGGCTCCCTTGAGTGCTGGGAGCACTCCCCAGATTGAAGTGTCAGTAAAACCTTTTTTTAGAACAAATCCGTACAGGGACTGCATGTCATATTCATCAGATAAAAGGAAGGAGGTGGAAGGAGCCAGAAGAGGAGTGAAAATAGGAAGGTTGAAAGAACCATCATCCCAGGTCTAGAACATTTCAAGGTGATCCTGCTTAGCAATTTGTTCCTGTTTCCTCTGTTGATTTGTTTAGAAATAGGTTTTATTGGCAGTTCAACTGAGGCAGTTCTATAGATTTATCCATCATAATTGAAAGGATCAGAGAACCTTCAGGATTTTCGCTGGAGTGAAATAGTGCAAACAGTCTATTTTGCTTTCCTGCTGGGGTTTTTAATCTTCCTTTTACACCTCAATCATGTATTAGTCCCACTCGCTCTCTAGCCAACTTCCTGCTTCTGAGGTCCTTTTAAACATATTTTATTATGAGCTTGTTTGTTTTTAGCAAGTTGCTCTTCAAAATCCTTTGTGGCTGGCCTTATTTCAGTTTTATATTTAACTTGTCAGAGCTAATATTATTTTCTATTTTTCTTTTTTGGACATGACTTCTGTATTCTGCAGGATATCTTTTTAACTCCTAATAGCCTCTTTCTCACCATTTTTTAAAACCATGTAGGGTTCTTTGTGGGAAGAGAAGAGTGTGTTTTAGTATTTTTTAATATTACTGTTGCTATTTTCATTTTTTCCTCACAAGTCTGGGGCTAGCTATCCTGCAGCCTTTCTCGTCACTCCAGCGATGACCTCTCGTTATTCTTTTGGTTCAATTAGTTCCAGGACTCTCTCGTTCTCCTGTGATGCTTGACCTGAAAGCATACAATTGACAAACTAAAATAGAGCGTACAAGGAAAAAGAGGAAACCTAAAAATTCGTGTGAAAATAAAGTTACACTGAGTTATGTCTCTCTGACAGGTAGTCTGGGTAACAAAGGAGTGAAAAACAATAGTTCATAGGCAGGATATTAGCCATTCTATGCTGAACGTTAGCACAGAAGGAATTTTTTAAGATAAATGACTGCCTGCTTTAAAAACAGAGTATGCGAAGAAAGCGCATATAATATCGCAAAAATGTAACAGGATACCCATTAGGCAGTTCAGGCTAAGAAATACTTGACATACCTAAATCTTCTGTTTTCCTCCAGTAAATTCTGATATACCTTTCTTTTAAATAATGCTGTAGTGTACACTGGAGAGTGGGTTATAACTAATTGCATGACATGGTTGATTTGGAATGCATCCTCAAATTTTCGCCATACTTTTTTGCCAGCCCTATCAATCATCTGCAACATGAAAGAGACATTGTTTAATTCCTGCCCAGCTGCATAGAGCTCCATGTTACTAATTTGAACTCTATACAATGTATGAGCCTACCCTGAGAACCGTGCAATGCAGTATATTGTTTCCCCTTGGCAGTGTTTATAGCCGTAAGAGAGGAACTAGTGTAATTTTTGCAAATTGACTTAATATCTGTTTATGATGTCTCATTAGCACACGCTGCACCCATTTGTACTATAACTTGCTTTTAAACTAGATACCGTGAGCTGTGGAGAAACGTTGGCTATTGCAGCACATCAAGATATAATACGGCGTCATGAATCCTCTCTCCCGGGAGTGTTGGGACGGAGAGAAATAACTACAAAATTCCAGGCTGTTAAACAGATTTCAGATTTGCTTTGTGGAAATCCCTGTCATGCAATAAACCGTGCATTGAATAAACTGTGAATAAAAATAGCTTTTGTTATGCTTTTAAACTTCTGGCATATCTTCCCAAAATATGTAAGGCAAAATGGCTCTCCGATTTTAGGGAGATCTCCTACTGCTGACCAAGTAGCAATGGCAGGAGTAGTGTTGTCTCACAGACTGCATTTTTAGCACTGCATTATCCACCATTACTCAGAGCAGATGCTCCTTGATTTATGCCAAAATGCACTAAATTCAAGTCAGTGACATCCATATGAAATAGTTTAACCCGCTGCCAATGCAATATACCGTGTGGTCTCTGGTTTCTTATTCTTTCAAGACTGTCACTGCATATGAGAGTAAAATATTAGGTAATGCTGTTTTAACAACAACTGTAATCAAAACCCTATCAGAATGACAATCCATGGAAAATAAATTATGAGGGGGAAGTACAGTTCCTATTCACGGTAAAAATTGCTGTAGGATTAATGCTAGTATTACTAATAATGTTAATATATAGAGTAGTCTTTGCACAGTTAACACGCACTGGTCAATTTTAATGTAAATTAATTGGCAAGAATTTACTGCCTGTGGTTAAAACTGCACACAATCTAGAGAATACACCTCTGAGTGATTTATTTTTCTTCATCTTTCACTTTATGGTTTCAGAAAATATCTGGCTTCTTCTTATTTAGAAAATAATTTCACTGACCAAATAAAAAGCACTGTGTAAAACAAATGCTTAAAATAAGTCATTTGGGGGTTGAACCAAAGCCCTTTGAAGTCAATGAGAGGCTGCCATTGACATCAGTAGCTTTTGAATCAGATCCTCTAAGGGGTAGATATAATAAAAGCTGATGACAGAGAAGAAGGTTAAAGCTAAAAGGTAGATAAAAAGAGATGAAAGGAGGAAAAATTGCTGCGCTCACTCAGCTTCATACCACTTAGGGTGAATCCATCAGGATCTTTAACCATTTAAACTAAATCAGAGGTTCTCTTTGTCATGATCAATTAAATGATAGGGAGAATATGCAAACTGTCCAAGATTTTCAACGAAGTTTGGCTCCTAAATCAGTCTGTGTGCCATTCAAAATTGTTGCACTTCTAGAGGCTGCCATTGATTGATTTCAGAGACAGTAAAGGCTTCGCAGCAACACACATGAGATCTTCAGTATCTTTTAAGGTTGAGTCTCGATAATCTCTGCTTAGCCAAGAAATTCAATGCTAAAGAACTATAACATGCCAGAACTGCAAAGAAAATTTAAACACCCTTTCAAATCCTATTCCCTTTTTATGGATAGATCTCCCCCTCTTCTTTGAAAAAAAAATCCTCCTTCCAAACACTATCATTTAAGCATATTTTGGGGTTCTTTTAGTAGCGACATTTTCTCCTCCGTCTTCTTTCCTTCTGCAACACCTGTTCTTAAGCTCTGTATTTTAAATTCGTATTTTTCAGCTGCAACAAGCAGTCTAAGCAAATAGAGGATAAATGTGTTAATCACAGCTGGCATTTTTTAGTATTAATATGCGCTTAGGCGAATGCATACTGGTGGAAACCATCTCATTAATACCATGACAGTCTTTGTGAAGGTAATTTTAAGCCACTATTTTCTAAGTTAGGTGATTATAACAATATGCATACTTCCTATAACGCGTGCATTTTCCTGCAGCCCAGCTAGAAAGTTAGCCCAGCTTACTGGGCTAGCTCCCCGAAATACTTGCGTAGCCCAGCTGGACCCCCCTCCAGCTTTGGTCCAGATCAAATATGAGGTTTGCCTAGTAGGCATTCGAATTTATGCTCAAAAATTCAATGTGCATAGTATTTGTATGGTCAAATACAAGCATCTAACTTGAAAAACCTGATCCATTTAAATGTTCTTGCCTGTCATAATTGTATCAGTTACGAAACTTTCATTCAGTTTCTAAAGAACTTTTTTTGCTTCTTCTCTGAAGTGATATGCTCTAAATCTCTTCCTATTCAGCCCACAAACAATCAATAGTTTATGTCTTCCGCCATATTTTTTTAAAAGCTCTTTCAAAATTTTCAAATTTTCAATGCACCCAGCCATGTGTAGTATGCTTTGAAGTGAGTAATCTGAGGTCAGCCTTATACTGAAAGCTCACAATCCAGGCTTTGCTTTCACCATTTCTTATGTTAAAACTGCCAAAATTTGGTGTCATGTAGAACAAGGACTAGGGTTACCTTATGCAGTCTGCTGGGAACACACATACATGAAGTAAGTGAAACGACCAATATTTTCCTCAAGCAAAGCTAACTGATGAAGATTTAGGAAGTAGAAGCATTGGTCAATTTAGAATTGTGGACTAGGGAACCAGGCAGCCTTGCAGTCTCTGCATCCTTAGATGCAAAGAAAGCATTTGACAGCATGGGATTGAAGTATTTCGTCTTTTGCAAGTTTTATGTTTTCATCCAGCCTTTATTAACAGCCAAGGCCCTCAAAGCCAACAGGAAGATTCCCTTTGATTTTCGTAGATGAAGTTCAAGATGAATTAGCTTACGTTCACTAAAATTGTCAGTACAGGTCAGGTAATGCCCAATGATAAATTTGACACAAGTGTAGGACCACTGATTTTGCTTGTATAATCACCACAGAATCTCCATATTTTATAGAAAGGTTTAATCCATATACAGAGGGAGCTCACATAGGTATGGAGGAACATGCAATGAAGAGACTAAACCCTCTCTTAATGACGAATCCTGGGCATTTCCCCAAAGATTTAATAAACATTCTGGAAGACTTTGGTCTACACTAAAGACACAAAACAAAGTAGGCCAAAAAAATCCTTTTTTTTCCACTCTGAGTTTTGCTCTTACTGTAAAAAACCCTTCAACTTGAATAATAAAACTAGCAAAATGGCTATGAATTTTTTAGTTTCTTGCGTTTTTTTCATGGATTTAGTTACTGAAGCCATAAATAGCAATCCTATCGTCTAGATGATAAAAGTTCTGGCACACAAACTTACAAGAAAATGAATAAATAAGATTTTTCGTTGTATTTCTATAACAAAGGTATTTCTGTGCATACAGGTGCTTAGTTTCTGTTTGAAACTACAGATTCTTAGCAGCTGATACAGGTTATATGCAAAGGGTGCAGTGAAACGGAGGGCAGAAATCAAACCATATTTGCACTTTTTTCCTCCTGTGGCATTATCTGTAAGGGCTTCAACAGATTAAAACCCATTTAGCATGCTTTTAAAAGACCATTTGGATCAAACATCATAAACGGAATAGTATGGATCTCAATAGGAAAAAGAGTCTTTAAGGTGAATATTCAAGGATTTTGGGAACTTTTAAAGCACTGTCATTTCATGATATTGGATATTTTTGTTTCTGTACATTAATAGCTTTGGTTTTCTAATACCAGCCTAATGTATAATGTACGGTTAGCGTGCTGGGGTTGTACAATCTACTGTTTACTGCAGCTTTTTATTGGCGTGCAACACTTCCTTTACAGAAGAGACATAAATGCATAGAGTTCTTATTATATGTCGGTAACTTTTAGACACCTGGAGGCTGGAGATTTAGACAGAGTTAACCTGGACTTTTCAAAATGGCAGTAGCGGATAAACTGAAATCATTGCAGAGTATTTTAATCATTCACCTGACAACTGTTAGATTGGAAATGGTGTGAGTAATAGAAAAACCTCTCCGCAAATGTTTAACAACTTAACTGCCAAGGAGTTAGAGAATGCTTTTTAAAAGCTTTTCCTTGCTATTATATGCAAAACCAAGATCTTAAAGTGATAAACCTGGTTCCATCTTCAGTGCACCCTCCCATTAGGTAGTTACAGACAGCAATAAGGTCTCCCCTTCACCTTCCCTTCTTATGACTCAACAAACCCAACTCCTTTGGCCTCTCCTCACATACCACGTGCTCCGGCCCCCTGACCAGTTTGGTGGCCCTCCCCTGGACTCGCTCCGGTGTGTCCATGTCTTTCCTGAGCTTGGGAGCCCTGATCACAACGCTCCAGGTGCTGTCTCACAACGGAAACCGCACAACTGAACAGTTACCCAACATCTCCAACCCCAATTCTTTCTTTTCCCACACAGATGCAGTAACTTATAAATCTAGGGGCGCAGTTCGGTTGCCTACGTATTGGTGCCT